ACAGCCAAGCAGCCTCTTCCCACGCGGCCGGGCTCGGCCTGGCCTCCAGCAGCTCCATGCGCGAGGCCTCCTCCTGGGCACCGCGTGGCCGGCAGCGGCTCCGGTCAGGGCGGGTTTCGGGGCTGCCCCTGGCACCTGCAGCGCGGGCCAGGCCGGCCTGGAGCCCGCTGGGCACCGTGGCCCCTGCGTGTGCCCAGCGTGTTGGTACCAAGGCTGCGGCTGCCACCCCGGCCTTTCTGAGCACTGCGCCATGCAAGGGGATGCAGAGGTGGAGCCACGTGTGGGTCCCCTGTTTCCTGGGAGCCTCCGTGTGAGTCTGGAGCCGTTTGCAGGCGCCTCCTTCCTAGGTTGCTGCTGCAGGCGGCGCCGGGCGGCCCCGAGGCCTTGCGGAGGCGCGTGGGGCTGGGGCTCGCGTGCCTGGGGCTTGGGGCCGCGTTGTGCTGCCAGCAGCGTGGGTGCGTGAGGGCCGAGGTGGCTCTCCTGGAGCTTCTCCCTGCACGGGGAGGCCTCTGCGGCCCCTGCGTGGGGGCTCTCTTTGCCCTCGGGACCCTCTCACGCAGCTCTCCTATGGAACTGGTACTAGTGCTGGTACTAGTGCTGGTACTAGTGCTGGTACTATCCGCTGTGCACGAGGTGGTGGTGTCACCTGCCCATAACTCATGGCTGGCTTCTCCTTGGCTGCTGTCGATGCCTCCCTAGGCAGAGATGTTAGCAAAGGAATTCCTTCATGGAAGCGCGCCTGGCACCAGGCTGCCATGCCAAGGTTGCTGGTGGGCTGCACTAACGGATGAGCTTTTATGAGCTGAGCTGCATTCCCTGCACCTCAGACCACGAGCGCGGCCCTTCCGAGCGCAGCAGAGTCTGCTGTGCCTGCGTGGGCCACCTCATGGCAACGTTTGGACATGGCTTGGGACGTTTCGCTCAAAATAAAGGCACGGATGCCAAGAGGAATACTTTTCCTTCCTCTTTGCACTAGAGAAATGCAAGTGTCACCAGATCCCTCCGTGCTGGTTTCTGGGTCTTCCCGTATCAGGAGCGAGTAGTGTTTCTGCTGAGGCCGTGTCTTCTGAGCCGTCTAGCGGTGTAGATTGCCGCGCGTCTCACAGGAAAGCGGATGAATGATATCTAGACACTGAGCTTATAAGTAGCGCACTGGCAACGCGCCACCAAAATATAAATACATTAAATGTACTAAAGGAAATGTTCGTTCTGTTGTTTGGAATTGGACGTGCCCCAGTTAGGTAAATTTAATCTTCTTGAGGGTTGTTGTGTTACAGCTGAATGAGACATGCGGTTATCTCCTCTCTGATCTTTCTGTCATTCAGGTTTCATGTTCTGGCAGTTGTGATGCAAAGTGTGTTTGCCCAGGAACGATACGACGAGTGTTTTCCAGGGGATATGAAGGTGCTCAGGGGATCTATTCGCACCTTGTGAGACCTGACCCTTCAGCCCTGACACTTTCATGATCCTCTTCTGCTTGTCGACCACGAAGCCAAGGGAGCCACCTCCGTTTTGGTTGGGAAGGCACAAAATGGTTGCTTTGCCTGCATTCGCTAGCGGATGCCTAACAAGTTAACTAACTAATCCTCATGTCTTCTGTTTTCCTGCGTATTCCCATTGTTAACTTTTGTTACGGGATTTTCCGCCGCTATTCCCGCAGAAATCCGCCACCGATTGAGGTCAGCGGCAGAGCTCACGCTGGCCTCAGGTGAGCAGAGCCCGATATGAGGCACCAGATCCAAAGCGGATTGCGCCAGAGCAGCGGAGCCTTGGCGTTGCTTTTCGGGGGCGCTGGGTCGGCCCCCCGGGAACATGATCCCACGGCATTAACTCCCTTGGCTAATCCCGCCGGAACCGCGGAAGCAGCACGGGAGCCGACGCTCCCCGTGAGCAAAGGGGCTGCGAGGACCGAGCTCCGCTCGTGGCCGTGCAGTGCGGGGAAAGGGCAGGAGGAAGGAGCCAGCGGCAAGGGGAGGTCTGGAGCTGCCTCGAACAAATGCCGTCCTGTATGGAACGCAAGTAGCTAAAAGAAGGAGACATCCGCTGTGTGTTTGGTAGATAAGAAAATGTTATTTTATTGAACTGAAGGATATTTATGTTTCACCTATCACATCTGAAATAATCACTGTAGGCTTTTAGAAGAATTCTGTAATTACTCTGAGCCCGTCATTAGTTAGAAGTAGAATGAATGATATTGCTCCATTTTATTACCTCTAGTGATAGAGCCATTTGTATCATAAATTCATTGACCTCATCTTAAATGATCAATCCTGTAAGACAGGCTTGATTCATTAATTCTTAAGTGACATTTTCTCTCCTCTAGTAATTTCCCCCCTCGTTGTTGAGACTGTTTTCCAGCTTTTTGCTGTGATATTCCAAGGCATCTTATTACCTGCACGACATGCACATTTGATATTTGTATCTTAAATAGGCAGCATAGACTTACTGCTTACATAAATAGATAAGTGGATATAAAAATAATGGAATATGTAAGTGTAATAAATGATGGACATTTATCACTGATGCCCACTTTAATGCTTTGGGATGTTGCATAAAATCAATGAGATAATTATTAGATGTTTGGTCCATCCAGGGTGTTCGGAGGAACGGAATTACTGCTTTTAACTTCTGTGTCTTTAATTAATTTTATGTAGTGATAAAATATACAGAATAGCCTGTGATCAATATGTGAGTGAAGCAGACAGACTTCAGAATGCCTTATACCTCAGTGAATTATTGAAAACCAGAGAAGTCAGTAGAGAATTTCTAAGCAGGATTTCTAAATATTTCACCGGGGAAGAGAAAATATTTGTTTAGCTGTAAGTGACATAGGAGCTCACTTGAGATAAACAAATCAATACGGCAGTAAAACACTCAAGTATTTCAGTGAATTTTTCAATGATAACTAATAGAATCAAATGATTAGAAAAGAAGCCATGCGGTTTTCTTGCCGTATTTTGCTTTCAGGCTGCTTAGTTAAAGCTGCTGAGGGGATCACTCAGCAACTTTAGGTCGCGCTTAGGTAAATCCAGCAGCTTTACTGAGGTAAACGGGGACTTACTGCTTTATAGTATAGACTCACAAACACTGTTGGTCTGCCTGGAAAACTCCAGCAAGCCGGGACTTTTCTGGAGGCCGGGGATGGGGCTCCGGACACGTGGGGCGCTTCAACGTGGGGCACCCTCGAGGGCGCCCAAACCCAGCCTGGCCTCCCCGTGCTGCAGAGGCGAGCCCATAGACGGCTCCTCAGGGAATGATCGAGCTTCATCCACCGCTCCCGTGGGACAGAGGCACCACGGTAGGGACACACAGAGCGTGTGAGGGAGGTGCGGAGACGGGACGCAGGGAGACAGCGCCCGGGAGGGCGGACGGGAAGGATGCCGAGGTAAAATAAATCCCCTCACAGCCATAACATGCAGGCGTGCGTGCATGTTTGTGAACATATATATTAAAGATATATTGCTGAAAACTCAAAAATCTCGCCGCTGTTTGTATTAAAGGAAAGCTGAGAGTTAAATGAGATGGGTAATCAAATGCCCGACATATGTTGTTTGGAATTGTTTATATAGCCAATAGTTATTAAAATTAATTATCCTTTTAATGCGGTCTTTTCAAAGTGGTATTTTTTTCTCACACAAAAGCTACAGGCGTTTCAAAGAAGCTAATAGGGGCTTTTTGGAAAAGCAGTATCGTGATGGATTCTGACATGGTCCTAGGCTCAACCTGCTGAGAGAAAGCACCAAAAATCTCTGTCAACGGCTTATTTTGAGAACTAATGCAAATGACAAAAATGGGATTTTTGTGTGTGTGTAAGATTCTGTCAAAAAAGTAAGGCACTGAAAAATCTGACATCTGTTTATCTGTTTATAGCTATGGCAAGATTACTCATATTAATTCTTGTTTAAAATGCCATATGAAGGAAAGGCATTTGTGCAAACAAGAGTCATATTTGAATTGTAGATCATGTCTTCACCATCTGTGAGAGCTGTTGGTGTTGCAAAATTAATGTGTTAATGAAATCACAATAATTTCTCTGAAGTAATGGATTCTGAAGCCTAGAATGACTATTTTTTGAACTTTGGTGTCTAGTGGTTTACAACTGGGAAAACCTTTCACAGCTTAATTAGTTCTGCAGTCCTACTTTTTTAAAAAAATATGGTTATGCCTTCTCCACACTGATAGTAACAGAAAAGGATGAAATGGGAAAGGGAGAAAAATATGAACAAAAAAGCCTGTAATGCAATTTTTTCGTCTTGTAGTATTTCAATAATGGTTATATAGGACCTTGCCACAAAGTTTTATTCAAAGTGATGAGTGTACAAGAGTGGGCCAATAGCTCAGAAAGCAATTTCAGCTTGTCGAAACATCACAAATTGGGAATCATATTCAAATCTCTTGACTATTTCAAAGTTTCTACTTGAATGAAGGGCAAAGGAATAAGGATGCTTTTTTGGTCCTACCAGTTTTAAATGCCTTTCCAAGTTGTTATCTGATTAAATATAATAAAATACAAAATGTTTATGTGTTTCTGTTTAGCAGTAATGATTTGGAATTCACATTTCGCAGGAGCCTTCTGAGTCCTTTTCCTGTCACTGTAGTTAGGGTGTAGTTTTGCATCTCAGATAGTACAGGTGTGTGTAGATTACCACAGCGCCATTCATATGGATTTAACATATACACATATATGTGTTACAACAGTTTGCACCAGCTGTGGATTATTCTCTCCGGTATGGATATAAGTTATATAATGTACCGTGCCAGGCAGGATTATGATCATGGGAGAAATGAAAAGGGAGTGGCCCTTTAAAATGAATTCCTTAAATTCAATTTGCTGATGTTTTGGAGCCAATAAACATAGTTTTCACAAACTATTTTTTTTTCCTACTACAAAACTAATGTGGTTATTTAGAAAGCAACTGAAAAAAAAATGACTTTTAAAATAACGCTATGAAGAGAAGATCGTTTTTCTTACCTGATATGATTTTATTACTGTGTTGTAGGTGTGTGACTGGTGTAAGCACATAAGACACACAAAAGAGTATCTGGATTTTGGGGACGGGGAAAGAAGGCTTCAGTTCTGCAGTGCAAAATGCCTCAATCAGTACAAAATGGACATTTTCTACAAAGAGACACAGGCCAATCTTCCAGCTGGACTGTGCAGTACATTACATCCTCCAGTCGAAAATAAAGCAGAAGGCACCGGGGTACAGCTGCTGACTCCAGATTCTTGGAATATACCGCTAGCAGATGCTCGGAGAAAAGCCCCATCCCCAGCGTCTGCAGCTGGCCAAATTCAAGGTCCTGGACCATCAGCGTCTACCACTGCCTCTCCATCTGACACTGCCAACTGCTCTGTCACTAAAATCCCCACGCCAGTTCCCAAACCTATTCCCATCAGTGAGAATCCAAATATTCCACCGGTTTCTGTGCAGCCACCTGCTAGCATTGTGCCTCCCATTGGTGTCCCACCTCGCAGCCCTCCCATGGTCATGACAAACCGGGGGCCAGTCCCTCTGCCCATATTCATGGAGCAGCAAATTATGCAGCAAATCCGCCCTCCGTTTATCCGGGGGCCGCCTCACCATGCCTCAAATCCCAACAGCCCTCTGTCCAATCCGATGATTCCTGGGATTGGTCCGCCACCAGGTGCTCCCCGGAACCTGGGCCCCACCTCCAGCCCCATGCACCGGCCAATGCTCTCCCCTCACATCCATCCCCCCACGACCCCCACCATGCCCGGGAACCCGCCGGGGCTGTTGCCACCCCCGCCTCCGGGGGCTCCCCTGCCCAGCCTGCCCTTTCCCCCCGTCAGCATGATGCCAAATGGGCCCATGCCCATGCCGCAGATGATGAACTTCGGATTGCCCTCCCTCGCCCCCCTCGTGCCACCCCCGACTCTCTTAGTGCCATATCCTGTCATTGTCCCGCTGCCTGTGCCCATCCCCATTCCCATCCCCATCCCGCACATCAACGATTCCAAGCCTCCCAACGGCTTCTCCAGCAACGGTGAGAACTTCATTCCGAGCACCTCCAGCGAGACGCCTGGGGCGAAGCCAGCCAATAACTCTTCATCGCCTCGAGAGTCGAAGCAAGGATCTTCTAAATCCTCCGACTCGTCACCGAGCTGCTCAGGCCAGTCCTTAAATCAAGCCCAAGTGCTTCAGGAGCACAGTAAAAACGAAGTTGTTGACTTGACTGTCAGACCTAGTAGTCCAGTGAACAGTAAATTTGGGTTCCCCGGTGTGCTGCAGGGTCCGCAGGACGGTGTGATAGACCTAACAGTAGGCCACCGGTCTCGGCTGCACAATGTTATCCACAGGGCTCTCCATGCCCAGGTGAAAGTTGAACGTGACCCCAACAGTGTTGTGAATCTGGCTTTCGGCAGCTCAGACAAAAGGAACTGCAGCGACTGCAGGGACAACTGCAGCCCGGTGGACTCCAAAGCGCTGCCGTGCGGCGACGCGGCGCACTGCTGCCCCGTCTCCTTGGCCTCCAGCACTCCCGGACTGGAGACCGGGGCAGCCGTTTGCAACGTCATCGTGAACGGCACCAAGAGCACGGAGGCTTCCAAGAACCCGGAGCCGCCCCCGGAGCCCAAAAAGCCTCAGCCCCCCGAGGAGCTGGCGGTGAGCGAGCTGGAGTCCGTGAAGGAGAACAACTGCACGTCCAACTGCCTCCTCGAGGGAGAGGCCGCCAAGAAGGCCGGGGAAGAGCCCCTGGCGGCGGGGGACAAGCAAGACCCCAACCTCAACAACCCGGCGGACGAGGACCACGCGTACGCTCTGCGCATGCTGCCCAAGACGGGCTGCGTGATCCAGCCTGTGCCAAAGCCGGCAGAAAAGACTGCCATGGCGCCGTGCATTATCTCAACGCCAATGCTCAGCACGGGGCCGGAGGACCTGGAGCCACCGCTGAAAAGGAGGTGTCTCCGAATTCGAAATCAGAATAAGTAAAGGTTTGTGTCATCGCTCCTGCCTGCTGTGCGAGTAGAGTGAGTATTTTCAGGTGCGAGGCCAAGCCCGTGGGGATGTGGCCTCTGTGGAGCACAGAGATACGGATTCCGATTTATCAGCACTTTCAGGAAACGATTGGTATTTATGTTTTAACATTGTTCTTTGTGTTGTATTGCATTTGTACCTGTCAGTACTTCATCCATCAGCAGCCTCATTACACTTTTGCTCACAGAACATCTGGTGACGGTGCTGGCTGTGAAGTTATTGTGTGGAGTATGTCAAAACGAGTGGCTTTCTGCATAGGGTACGGTTCACGCCCGGGCTGTTCATCTGCTGACTTATTCCAGCCACGTTGCACAGCAGCTCCAGCCTTCCGGGCCCGTTGTGGCTGATCCCGCCTCGCAGTGCAGTGTAGAGCAGGCACCAGGGCTGCTCCCTTGTGGCACCTGCAGCAGGATCAAGGACCTTTCCTCCCTTGCACAGGTTATCTGCCTTGCTGCCCGGTCCCTCCCGCTTTAGGGAAGCTGTTGAGATCATGTAGTGTCTGATAAGGGCTTCAAGGCGCGGCAGCAATACAGATAAGCCCACGCACAGCTGTGGCTTGTCCAAAAGCAGCACTGCAGAGGCCAAACCCCGCTGCGTTCCCTGCTCCCAGCCTGCTGAATCCCCCTGGCCAAAGGGCGCCTTTGTAAAACTGCTCGTTCAGTCTATGTCTATTGCTTCAGTCCTGTGGACACGGAACAAGTGCAAATGCATTTGTTTAGATTCCCAAGCATGGAGAGCTTCTTTCAGAAAAAGGGAAAATGGTGGGTGTTACAAGAATCTGTTCAGCGGGAAAACACGGATGACTTGCCGGATGTGGCTTGGTGACGGGCCAGGTTTCATTACAATCATGGAATACTCTGCAGCCTCCAGCAAATCCCTGTCCCTGGTAGCACAAATAGTGACTGTGGCAGCGCAGTGCGAGCATTGCCTCCAGCAGCTTGGCATCCAGCACAGTGCAGCATCCTCCTGCTCCCTGTGGCATCCAGCACAGTGCAGCATCCTCCTGCTCC